CCCGTAGGTTAGTAACCGCAGGAGCTATATTTGGTAGCACCATCAGTTTAACCACACTCGAAAACCACGAAAACGACACCTATGACGAAGAAGTTATTTACTTAAGTAAATAAAATTTGTGCAGCCACCATCTTGGATTTACTTTTTGACAGCACCTTCAGTTTTATACCACCCTCAAAAACCACGAAAACGACACCCATCATGACTATGCTGATAACTTTGTAAAGCCGCCATCTTGGAATAACGTATCATTTTAATACTACAAAATATGATGGTTACCCAGACCATCCATTGCAAAATAATTACAATGAGGCTAAACGTGTGCCATCATATTGTAAAACGTTTCGCATTGACTATACGGCTTATGGCGCAGTCGCCGTATCCGAAAACAGCCGTGCTTTTCTAAATGGTTAGCCGTAATGTAATACGGATTATACAATTCGCCTGCGACATACAACACGCTCCACCAGATTGTACCAAATACAGAGGAATATTGATCAGTCATCGTGTCTATCTAGCAGTTGTGGACTAACCCTTGATCCAATCGAAACTTGACCCGTCTTGCCGTCCCTCAGTCCATTATACAAATTACAAATCTTGGACTGATTGTCCAGCTAAGTATGTACTGTGCAGGCCCAATATTGACAAAAGATAGCTCTGAGCTCCACGTTTTGATCTTCGCCCCTACTACTGGAATTCACTTTGCAGATATCATCCCTCCCACCAAGCTACAGGGCATCAATCAAGTTTGCCCCGGTCTTTACTCCGAAAAACGTCTATCTCTCAAAACGGCCATCGGCTCCGCCATATAAACTGTTAATTTTGTAATTTAGGAAATGCCGATCTCGTCTAAACTTTGTTTTAAATATTGACATCTAAAATTGCAATTTTGTAGCCTCAATAAGTTATTGTAAACGCCCAATGTTTAGTATATAAATTTCCAAAAAAGAGTTTTTTTTTAGCTTTACCTTCATTCATCAGATTGGTACAAACTTGATTTTACCAGTGACTGCTGATAAATAACTGAACCGTGTCATACGTTTCTCATTACATTGCACCAAACAACAAGTTTAATAATAAATTGGATCTTCTTTTTGCGTGAGTTGTAAGTAGTTGTGAACGTGGCTCCGTCAGGGACATGGATCACGTCTGCAGCGCGGCCGGCGCAGCGGGAGGCTGGCTGCGAGTGACACTCTATGATATGATGTGTTTGTGTAAAGCTACCTGCCTGCCTGTCTCAGTGTCTCCTGTCTGACTACGTAATACACATCCGCGATACATGTTGTTGCTATACTCATGGTTTTTATTCTTCTGTGATGCTTTATAAAGGTTGTATTTATAGATGAAATTGATAATTCATTCTGTCTATAATTTGAAACATTTTTTAGGGATAAATAAAGCGGCAAACGAACCTACGGCGGATTACTGGTACATCAAGCAATCAGCATTGCCCATGGAAACCCGCAACACTAGGAGAATTACGAGTGCGATACCGGCGTTTTGGAAATTAGGGTTGAGGTGCTGAGGTTTTAGGTTAAGGATCTTTATGTTGTCAGGCGCATTGTATGTAAATTATTAAACAGGTGATGATATTGGCTACTATTGTCTAACAAACTGTCTAGTGCCAAGTACATGAGAATAAACTAGACGTAATTGAATACTTTCGGGCATTATTGACGCTATTATTGGTCGGTCGTGGCTGAGTAGCAGCCGCGGGCCGGGAGGCTGGTGTGAGGGTGAGGGAGCGGACGTAGCGCGGGGTGGTGTCACCTGCAGACGCAACAGGTATATTTTGTTTTCGTTGCTGATTGCCGGCGAAATGCGCACAATATCGAAAACAATCTGTTCTACAGTATGTTTGCTTACTGAAGCAGAATCCATTCCGTGGTTATTAGAATTAATTACAAAACGTCCCCTATTCAATTCGGCAGCTGTTGTAATATCGGTTTCTAATTTCGTCAGTACAAACCTAACTGTCTGGTTGTTGTCAAAGTCAAAAAAGTAATTGTATCTAGTCAATAACTTTCATAATTTGGTAGCTACGTGGTATGGTGGGTATGGTACAGTAAATAAGCAATTGTTTTTGTTTGCTTCCAGTTTGCTCGACTGTTTGTCTGACTATGTATACAGCAGTCGAGCCGACTAGGGCCGGATGTTGAACTAGGATCGCACCACGTTGCGGTGTAGCGCCTACCGGTTTACCCTTTATAGATACCCGTGTTACTTAAGTAGGATTTTATGAATAACAATAATTCTGAAATGCCCCGAGAACACACATTCTGTTAAAAAAATAGATCATTCCTTCTCCGTTTCCCTATTGGCAAAAGTATATCTGTCTGTCTGTTACGTTCGCACAACAAATTCATTGAATTAACTAGACTAACGGAAAGTTCTACCTTTTCCTTAAACCTTTCTTTTGGTCAGCACGGTACCGAGTTCAATCCCAACCAGATTGATAGGTTAAATGTCCGTATACGTATTTTGTCTGAAGATTGCCATGTATCCTCTAATAGTGAGACTACAATCTTCTTTAGACCCGTTATCAGATTTTTGAGGCATCTGACTAGCTGTAATGATTAACGATTTATCATAATGATGTTTGTATGACAACAGAGGTCGATAGCTGTATTTCCAAAGCACGGTTATATTAAGGGGTGAAATTATTCAATGATTCCTCCCGCTTAATTTTGACTCCTCTGCAGTGCAGTGGTAGATAACAATAAAATTAAAAACTTTTTCATAGATAACTTGACTTCGAGAAATCCTTTTCACACACTATTTTCGGCTCTTCGTTTCTGGCCCTCTTGCACAGTTACATCACGGTTTTCCCAAAATAGTAGGTAGGTACTACTTTGATCAATACAAATCTATTAGTTTCTATGTAATTGGAAATTGAATCGTATCTTGAATATCGGGAATACAACCGCCCTGGGCAGGGAGAACGCTGTTGGTGTAGGATGTCCGACGAGATTACCTCGATGTCTGACACATTCTGACCGACCTACAAAAACTGTATAATACCCTATAATAGATAGAACGATTTCTTTGTCTTCTTTACTTTTTTATTTACAAAATATTGTTGCATTAATGCACGGAGTCTCTGCTTTCTTTAGTACATAACTATATACCTAAATCATTTATTTTTTATCTTACCTTATTTTACGCTATTCCTTGACCCTGTTTCCGGGTTTTAACAACCCGTCTCGTAGCTTGGTGAAACAGGTATGTGGACTCATAGGGAGTGCCTACATATTCCTATCTAGATAGTAGAATATATGCTATCAAAGATGTGTGTCATGAATTTCAAATAGAGGTAAATAATAAGAATAGAGAAAATGGCGATGGTATTTTGAATGTATCCAAGGATAAAGTAACATTGTTGTTCAACATAATACTGTACAGAAATACACAAATCCAATACGATATGTGAGCAACATAATGTTATAGATGGCCGTCGATTTTATTATTGAGAAGCCTTAGAGTTTATCCGATACAGTCCGAAGGTAACAGTAATACGATGTTAACTGGTAATTGGTTTGCGAAAATGGCGTGGGTCGGGTGGCAGGTGCTTCGTGCGTCCACTATTCATTACGAGGGCTATCGCGCCAGAATTTCCCGCAAAAGGCGCGATTAACTAAGGTGGGTTGCTCAATAGAAATTAGCTCGAACATGGAACATTTTATTTTTGTCAGCTACATCGATGAGACAAACAGGCTTCACGCTACATTGCTTAAAATCAATGGTCCTCATTGGGGTTCCCTAACTGCCCAGCATACATCATTAGCTGGAAAACATGCACCACTACCTTTGTTTCGTTTCTGAGGTGGTCCTATAATATTATGGTCAAATCACCCATGCATCATATGTCATTACCCTAGAGACATTAACTCGTCGAGTACCGACTATGTAGACACAATTATAGAACAATAGGTTGCGGTCACCGGTGACCGCTTGGTGTTTCATAGTTTAAGGGAAGCCCTCAACATGCGTTCATAACGTTTGACAAATATAAGAGTAGCTTAAACCACTCACAGATGATTTTCTGAGATAGTAATTACATATCATATTGATGGTGCTAAGTTGATGATGGAAAAACACACATGGAAGTATCTAATAGAGTTATCACAAAAATAATTGATCTTAACTTTAGTTCGCTGTATTCGAGGTGTATTTTCTTTTATAAATCTTATAGCAAAAAATACTAAATTCAACAAACCGCATTGGAAAATATCGAATATTGTTCCGTATTGTTATTTGTTGTGTAAATAAATAATGATGATGTGATGTCGAGTTGTTATCTCTACCTTTGATGGAATTGATTATTACCACTTAGGAGTGCGTTGATAAAACGAACCAGTTCTTGTCTATAGTTCGGGTAACAAGGTACACACTTCATACTTGATTGTGCTCGTTGGATGCGTGTGCGCAACTGCGTCACTGCAGCGCTGCTGTGTTGATACCTTATTTATAGGTACTGAAATTGTAATTGAATCTCTCTCTTTATGTATATAAAAACTAATTTGTGTTTATTAAATAGTCTGGCAAAAGGGAAAAATGAAATGATTAGGTAGTTTCGCCTCTGAAATATTTATGAATGTTGAAGCATGATTTAACATTGAAAAAATATGGAAAGTATTAGAAGGCAAAGTCGACTTCATTTAATGAACAAATGTGCTGGTGCAGTCATTGCAGTGCTATTACAAATCCAAGCATGGACTGTTCCCTCTGAGCATGATACAAAATCTGTGAATGATTTTAACGTAGATGCAAAGTAAACGCGACCCAGCAGAACAGCCGCGTGCCTCTAACAAAGCCATCACGCGATCTTAGCAATACCTCCGCACCTCGCTCCACCTCCCTATGCACTATGCATATAAGAGTCAGTGCGTTTTGTTCAGTTGCATAATATTACGTTATGTTTACTAGTTGCAGGCGGCACGTGTAAGCCAACTACTAGACGTCTTGTGATTGCAACGTCTCCGAACTGCATATCCATTACTTGTTCGATTTTAGACAAGTGGAGACGTTTCCGCAGCGGCCGCGCGCTGGATTAGCTGCACTTGAATTCTATCGATGTAGGCTGGTATCGGGCGGTGGTAGTTAGTGAAGGGCAGGTTCAGGGGCACGCTGCGTCATCGCGATGCACTTTTAGCCGTTCGTGATTGCGCTACGAGTGCAGCATTATATTATTGCCTGCTAGTTTGTAGGAAGTGATATCGCTCGCGCCTCTCAGTCCCTTCGATTCGTTTCATTGTAGTTTTATCAAACATCGACTTGTTCTCTGTGTTTCGTGTGTCAAGTGTGAAGTTAGCTAAGGTTTACAAAACCTTACAGTTTACAGTCACGAATATTACCTAAATTCAAGTAAAAAAATAACGTAACTTGTCTTTAATTAGTCGGTGGATAATTTTTGTTAGTAAATAGAGATAGATTGTGCAGTGGACTACAGAGAGGATTATAGAGTGAGCGTTTCGCGTCAGTGTGTGAGGAAAAGAGCCGGTGGAACAGTGTAATCGGATCAGTGCAACCCTGCACCTGCAGGCCGGCCGCGGGCCCGCGCTGCTCTCCGCTGCGCCGCAGATAGTTTTGTTTTTCATCCGTCGTATTCGAACCCGTAATCACTGCCTCACCAGTGCTCGCAGTCTGTACTCGTAATTAAATGTCTGCATCAAGAAAATCGTTACCGCGCTTTGTTATAGAAATTTCCAAAACATTTGGTTGGGATATGTATAGGTACGCCCCTTACCGTAAATGTTACAAGTAGGCGGGCGCAGTGTTTTTATAGATTCTTCATTGTTAAATCTAATCACGTGAGGTTCACTACTTGTACTACCATATCGTGCTACAGTTCAACACCTTAAATTGCTACAGCTTAATTTGAAGTACATATTACGAGTGCAATTAACGAATAAGTTATGGATTATGATGTTAGGTTTGGGGTAGTCAGGCAGGCGGGTTGTAGAAGATAGAACCTGTCACCCTGGGTGGTGGTAGTATAGTAGATTGCGAGCGGAGTGCGTCGCCTGCCTAGTGCGTGTGTCGGGTCGCGGTGTCGTCGCTAGTCGCGGTCGGCAGTCGGGTGTGACATCGTCGCGCGGAGTGGTCGCGTGTGTCGCGCGTCACGCGATCGCGGCATGGCGCGCGAGTACGCGCGTGTGCATGAGTTCTACCTGCCGCTGCACGAGCTGCAGCCGCCCGCGCAGCACTACCATCCGTATGATCTGCACCCGTGAGTACTGGCCAAGTGACCACCGGCCTCAATTATCACTCACTCCCACTGACTGACAACTTGCATTTTATATTGCATACAAACTCTTGGAAATTGTTTTTTACGACTATATTAAGCTGCATAATATTTATTTATTATTTTACATTTTACTGACTTACTCGATAACTAAAAAAAACCAATATTGTTTATTTTGATGCGGACATATGAAGTTTCAAACTTCTATTAGTATCTAACCTAGTGGTTTATTAGTCGTCAGTAGGATAACAAACATTTCTTCGATTAGTCAATAGTCAGAGAATATTTTTCCGATCGTTGATTATGGAGTCAGTCATACAAGTAGACAGTGTGTAACAAGATATTACAGCAGTAGGCAATAACTATCATGAACATTAACAATTTAATCGCAGTGGGTAATGAGTACTGTTGAGTATGGAGCTGAAGCCGGAACCTGCCTCCCGTTTACCTCTTACGACTCTACATACAGATGATGTGCTTATCATACCATATACTAAAGGTACAGTGTAGACGTTTTGTTAACACCACTGCTGTAGAGTATTTATTGTCGTCAGCAGGGATACTTACACTCCACTGTTGCCATTCAAAATGGCTTTACAAATTCACAACAAACAACCATTTCATAAAAAGTTTTGCTTCTATAGTAAGTACAAACATAAGCGGATTCGTTCAAACAAATACTCCAACAATGTATGTAAAGTTATTTTCAGAAACTTTACAAAAGGTTTATATTGGTTAATAATAACAAATACTTTTTTGACATGGACACATAATTTTAAATTAATTTAAATACTAAACTATCCTTCGCGTATGGCGGGGTCAACGCTCCAGGGAGCGCAGTGGCATTTCCTTTTGTACTTCTTACAATTTTATGTATCTTCTAGTTTCCCATCGTTTTATTATTCCCATCGTTTTAACAACTCCGCCAAAAATGCTCATACCTTACATTAATGTGTGTAACTGAATCTATATTTTTCTCTAACTTCATTCCATAGTAACCTTTCTTAGTTGTCATTTCAGTAATTTTGCAACAAAAATATGCGTGTTATGTAAAAATTAAAACACGCTATTGGTTGAGCGAGTATGTGTCTCTGTGCGGAACAGCAGCAGTAACTTTTAATAAGAGGAAAATTCATTACGATTGAGTGCCACAAAAGTGAGTTTTCCACGTGGCATGGTACCACCGTCAACCGCGTGTACCAACACGAGCAGGTACAACGGCATTGCTCCCCCTGTTTCACACAATTCCTGCCGTTTTCCAATGTTATCCTGAAAGTAACTTAATAAATGGCTAAAGTAATTATTAGCCGGATTTATTCATCAACTCGCAGGTAAGGAACTCGAAAGTTTGCGCGTATCGGCGCACTGAATTCCTAGTACCTAATGTTAGATTTTAAATACTACCTAAATAGAACATTATTTTTGTTTATACGTTTTAATAATATATATTTTCTATTTCTTTTTCAGTTTAAATTAAATATTAAATATAACACCTGTATTACATTTTATGAATAATATGTATAATAGAAAGGTACCAACTTTCGGGCACGCGTGTGTTTCTTACCCACGATACGTCATGTCATAAGCAGGATCAGTTTGGAGAGTTTTGCGTTTAGTACCTAAGTACGTTCATCAATTATTTTTTAACGACTTCAAAAAACAGGGAGGTACTTAGTTCGACAGTTTGTATTTTTCGGGTTCCGTCTAAAATTTAAAGCGCTATTTCGAATAAAAAAATGTTTAAAGTATTTAAACTTTTAACGCTTTAAACATTTTTTTTATTCGAAAAACGAACACTGAACTGAAACTGATTTTATACTCCGGATTGTCTACCTTATTTTCCATGTAGTTTTGATTGATATTTTAGACTAATAAAAAAGAGGAAAATAAAATAGTTTAAAAATAGACTAACAAACCAATCGCTTTGAGACTATGACCAATCAGAATACGTATCGTGAAAACCTAGAGGAAAATAATAACATACAGATATCAAATGCTTTGTTACCGGTATGCATTAACAATAAATAGTCTAGGTATTTGTATAATATCTGTAGGAAAGTGTAACATTATGTAAGGATAATATATGAAACAAGTGTGCAAGACGGAACGTTCAACGAAGAAGTTTAGAAGTTAAAACATGGACAATTGAAAATGCGAAAGTATTTTTTTAAAGGGCCTAGCCCGCCACTTTCTCCCGAAGCTTCCAAAACAACTTATGTGCACTAGGTTCTACAGTAGATAACAATTATGAAAACACAAAAAGACTGAAGCCCGGCGCGCCTCAGGGACATAAATAACTTAGATCCCCTTACGAAATAAATCAGTTATTATTAGAAAAGAAAGAAAAATCTAATTAATTTCCACTTCCCTCAGTGAATTTATTGGTGGAGACAAAATAGCTTAAGCCTAAAGGCACAAAGAGACTGCATAACTGTAAATAAGCCCAGTCGCCAAGTAACTATTCACTTATTTAACTTTTGACAATCTCAGTCGGGATATGATAGTGATCGTCTTCTTTGTTCCTACTTGTGGTTCTATTAGTATTTGAATGTTCCTTAAATCGATCATACTCGCCCTACAGTTCCCGAACTGTGAAGGCGAATTTATTTATCAATAACTGAGAGCAGAGCAACTGAGCAAGTATTTTATTTATCGATAACTATCGATAAATAAAATAATACGTCATCATGATTCGTTCTCATAGTTACGTATTTATACGATTACGTGACTTTGAACTACGTCAGTCTGTCGTCAGTCTTCACAAATTCAAAGTCAAAGTCAAATCATTTGTAGCAACAAAATGTACAGATGATAGGTTACATGATTATGACCGTGCAACATTAACACATAGATAAAAGATACAAAAACATAAGGTATTTATATAAAAATATAGTCAGGTTTAGGTAAAATCATAGTCAAAATAACTTAACTTCAATTAGATATAGTTTTAGCCGTTTTTGAAATATTGCATTGCAAATACTTCATGTACATACGTTTGCACTATTTCAACATAACATGGCACCATAGCGCAACCACGAGTATGCATAAGCGTAGTAAGCAGTAATAGCTGTGTGCATGTGTCAGCGCTTTGTTTTATTTGGAGAAGGAAATAGTGAATCTAGATAATTTCATGTCAAAGTCAAAGCATTTATTTCAATTAAACCATGTGTTCTATGTATGACTGAATATATTTATCCAGAGAAATTGCGCCAGAACAGACCGGTTTTGTAAAGGGCAAGGGTACCTACCCGTGAGTAAATTCTCATCGTTCGTCAAATTATCGAAAAAGCACGAGAATTCAACAAGCATACATATGTATGCTTTGTTGATTTCTTAAAAGCGTTAGACTCGGTGAAATGGCCGACGCTATGAAGAACTCTACTGGATATGGGCACACCGCAACTCCTTGTGTATCTACTCAGGGGACTATCAAAAACGCAAAATAGAACACGTAATCCGGGCCTTTGGATTGAAAATTAATCTATCTAAAACAAAAATATATAACAACTCCATAGAGCGGCTGGTTGTTCAGGGGAAAGTAGTAGGGACCAGATGACGAGGCAGATCACATATGCGCTAGACTAATCAAGTCAAATCGGTAACGAGAAACCCAGTGTCAGACTGCGCCTGACAATCCACAAACAGGGAGAGATGGCTAGACCGCGAGGAAAGCTGGATTGGCCTCCAAAACAAATAAGAGATGCCAAGAGCGAAACGACAGAGAAGATGTGTGAATTCCAGTTTATGAATAAAGATACCAAGCAAAATATATTAAACTTTTTCTATTTGCATGCTTAGCTGTACAGGAGGTCTTTTGTATAATGTGAAATGCATCAATTTTATCTTACCACTATTTGTTTCAAATTATAGATGTGGAGAGAATTATCCACAGCTTCAAGTGTCTAAATTCAACAAACAATTGTTTCAGTTTTCATCGATTGCTACAACGGTATTTCTGGCGAGTACCTACGTATTAGGAGTTCAAAATCCAAATCAAGTTAAAAATCCTTTGTCGAAGTTTTACGTTGTCTGAATTGAACAAAAGTTCCCGATTACCGAGTTCCAATTTTATATTTGGACCGAATATTTGTATGAGGTAATAGTCTTTTGAGGATATAAATATAAATAAAGTCTCACTCTTTTGCTACTATTGAATAAATTATCGACGTCAGTACTCCCTCCGGCGCGGTATAAATCTGTGCATCTGTCAGTTTGTCTGAGACATCGTAGTGTCCTAATTTTTAAAAGATGACCTGTAGACTCTTAGAAAAAAATATTTGACGCCACTGACAAACAGTGAACTAAACATCGTCAGGAAATCTGGACTTATAAGTTTGAAAATTTCAACGCGTATTGCGCATGCGTGGTGATTAGTTAATGCCCAAACCTTCTCATTGGGAGAAGGGGGCATTGGTCAGCAGTGGCCACTTAAATAAAGGCTGTTGATGTGTGTGATATGTTTGAATCTGTAAATACTTCTTCTAAATTTATGTATTTGTTGCTATAACAACATCGATTTGTCCGTGTCGGTCTGTCTATCACAAGGCTGTTTCGTATGACCGGTGATAACTAGACAGTTGTCACAGATAAAATGTTTCTGTTTACTAAATACAGAATACAATAAATAATATTAATATATAAGTGGGGCTCCCAAGCTGCCATCTAGCAAACGTAATTTTTTGCCAGTTTTTATAGAATGGTAATGACTGGACTCTTCGTGGTCGTGACCGATTTTTTATTTATTTTAGGCTTCACTACGGCGACTGCCCAAGTGCAGCTAGCGGCTAACCGCCTAAGCCTATATGTGTATATGTATGTAGGCACTAGTATATGATATAATACGTATCGTATGCATTTTAGGAAGATAAGGTAAAAAACTATTAATTCATTTATTGAAAGTCGGTACCAGACGCTACTGAAACGCATGTTAGAGGAGTATTCCTGTTTGAGCACCTAGAGCACCAATCCTTTGGAAGCAACGATAT